CCAGTCTTGCCCACGCCCCTGTATGCGCATAAAGCCTGAATTGCCCAAAACATGCCCAAACCATCCTGTTGCTGCTTGAGTCACCCAAACATCCCTGCCCTGCCTCCGTCACCAGCTCCACACCCTCTCTCCAGACCCTGCAGCCAGCCCCACAAGCTGCTCCCGCTGCCCCCTGAGCACCCTGAACCCCCTCCCCAGTGTCACATGTGCTCGGTTGGCCCTGTAAGAGCAGCGGGTACCTCACAGGGCGATGAGGCCTCTGTGGCCACTGGGGCAGGGGGGCTGTGCCACAGTCTCCTTGGCTACCACCCTGCAGGGCGAGGTGCTGCGGGAAGGATGCGGCACTTGGGCAAGATGTTTACGGTGCGTGGGAGTGTGTTGTCTGGAGAGGTGCCGGTATCCAGGCACGGGCTGGCTGCTGAGCCCACGGGCACGGGCCAGCGGGCACAAAGCCCTGGCGCCCGCCGTGGGTGCGGACAGTCCTGGCACCGGTGGTGCACCCCGGTGGAAGGACATTGCCATTGGAATGGCAAACACCTGGGCAGGGTGGCCTTCCTGTGCCTGCTGTTTGGGCAGTCACACTGGTGGTCCAGAAGGGCAGAGGAACCTGGGCAGGGTCACCTGGAACATCCAGAACTGCAGATCTCAGACAGGCACTGGCTGGCACAATGCCCTGGACTCGTGGGGCGATGTCTGAACAGGGGCAGCTCCAGTGGGGCCAGTGAGAGGGCCAGGGGCCGCAGCTCCAGTGGGGCCAGTGAGAGGGCCAGGGGCTGCATCCTCCCTGGCAGGGGGGTGGCTGCAGTACCCAGAATCACAGAACAATGCCATCCCCGCTCCTGCAGGGATGGCAGCTGTGTCCCAGAAACCGGCACCAGTTTCTGGCAGCTGCCCGGGCGTCGGCGGAGGTGTCGCTCACGGGAGGCACTAAGAGCCTTAATCCATCGGCAAACAGGGATGAGCACTCAATGACACCACAGAGGACTCGGTGCCAGCCCCACAGAACTTCCTGCTGCGTCTCGGCAGCTCCTGTGAACCACGCTGGAAGTTCAGAGAGTCTCGGGGCTGCAGTGGCACCAGGCATGGGCATGGTGGCCAGTGACCGGACGGTGGGCACGGCCGATGGGGGCACGGCCGATGTGGGCACGGCCGATGGGGGCATGGCCGATGGGGGCACGGCCTCCTTGCCAGGCTGCTGGGACAGGTGGGAGGGGAGCTCAGGTCCCTGTCGGGGCAGCACAGCTCTGCACACAGGACTCAGGGCACTGAGCTGGGACCTACTGGGTTGTTCTGGGCCATGCTGAGCCAGGGCAGGGCAGCTGTTGCTGCCTGCGGGACGCGAAGGGGCTCTGGTGTTAATTAGCCGTAATGAGCAGCTGCGATTTGGGCAGATCCAACCAAAGCACGCGCGGCTTCATCAAAGCTCCTGGGCTGCCAGCGAGGAGCGACCAGCCTGGGCACCTCTCCCCTGCCTGTGGGCAGCTGCGGCTCCCGGAGCCTCGGTGACACCCCTGCCGTGCCGGCCAAGCTGCGGGGCCACAGGGCCACTGGCTGTGGGGAAGGGGAGCCCAGAGGGGCCGGGATATGGTCACTCTGTGCTGGAGGAGTTGTCCTCCAGCAGAAACCCCGCGTGGGTGGCTTGGTGGCCAGCCAAGGTGGGTGTCATGGGTGCGCTGGCACAGTTGCCATGCCCAGCTGCCGGCAGGGGCTGTGGGGAGGGCACTGGGTCCCAGCGGGAGCTTGGGCTGAGCCGGCAGAGCCAGTGAGGGGTCCCAGCAGCAGCCACTCCACCCACCACAAAATGCTGCCACTGGCTGAGCTGCCACACACAGGGTCATCCCACCCAGTGTCTCCAGCGCAGCCCCTGGTGCTCAAGCGCAGCACAAGCCCCCTGTGCCGTGTCCATCTGTCCCAGCTGCTGTCAGTCCAGCCTCACGGACAGCCCAAGGGCAAGCAGCAGAGTGCACGGGCCCCGGCCCTGGGGAGTTCCGTGAGCTGCCCGTGGCACCGGTGGAGCGGCAGCAGCAGCACACGGAGGCCAGGCAGCTTAGCTGTGAGTAGCCACCCTCCCCATCGCCCCGGATGGGTGCTGGGGAAGGGCCGAGGCAGAGCAGGGGTGCAGCCACCACCAGGGCTAGGCTCAGAGCTGAGCTCAGAACTGGGAGGTGCCCACTGGGGCTCTGCTGCCCAGGAGTGGTGCCCGCAGCCTCACGCACAGGTGAGCTCAGGCGCTCACGCACATTTGCCATGTGAATGGCTCCTCACACTCACACGTGTGCTTGGACACGGGCTGGCTCCAGCCCGGGACCAGAGCTGGTGTTGACACCAGCCCACGTGGCACCAAGGCCTCCAGCCCTGCCAGCCCCCATTGCCAACGTGCCATTGCCTCCAGCCCCGCCGATGTCCCAGCCCTGTGCCTGGATGGTGGCTTCCGTGGGGCAGGATGGGGGTCCGGAGGGCTCCAGGCTCTTGTCCCCTCCCCAGCCGCACTATGCCGAGGTGTTGGAAAAGGCTTGACTGGGTGCAAGCGGCCGGCAGGAGAGCCCGGTGCCTGCGGGTGGGAGATGGAGCAGCCTGGGACACAGCTAGGCTGAAGAAAAGCCAGGAGCAGAGTGGCACAAGCTGGGCTGTGCCTCCCAGGGCTGGCAGAGCCACCCTGACACCGGTTCTCTTCACACCCCAGAAAGAGGAGAGGAGGGGTCTGGGGGGACTTGAGTGCTCCCCTCTTTGCCGATCCTCAGCCCTGAGGCACGGCCTCTCACCTGCACAGTGCAGCCAGGTTTGGCTGGGTGGGAGGAAGCGAGGGGCTCCAGTCAGGTCCGGGGTGGCTGTGTGGGGTGTGTGGAATGGGACATCAGGTGGGCCACGTCGCCCTCCCAGGGTTCCCACAGCCAGGGTGAGTGCTGGGGTGGTTGGGCAACAGGGCAGCACCCACCTCTAGTTCCCCATGCTGTGGTCAGCCAGCTCTGGGACAGCTGCTCTGACCCATGGGCAGGGCTGTGGGATGTGGGGAGGGCTCAGGGGCTCATGGCTGGTGGTGCCACCTGGGGCTGGTGGTACCACCTTGGGCTGGTGGAGCCACCTTGGGCTGGTGGTGCCACCTGGGGCCAAGCCTCCAGCCCCACTCCCCACTGCTGCCACCCGCTCACAGGCTGCCCCGGCGCTGTGATCCCTCAAACTCGGCACATCCTGTGGACACCAGCCCCAGAGAGCCATGAAGGCTCTCCCAGGACATCCCCGCTCCCCACCTCGTCTCCCTGAGGATGGTGAAGTTCCCATGTGCCCATTCCCGTGCTCCCCATGGGTGTGTCTGTATTGTAGCGCTGCCAGCCTCGCTGGCAACTAACAGCTGCTCGTGTCTCTTGCCCAGGGGCTGCACCGCAGCGAAAACACAAAAGAGTTTGGTGTAGGCCCAGCCACGCCGTGCCTGCTGTCTCTGCTTCCCAAGCCAGCGCCGTTGCCTGGGGCTCGGGATGTGGCTGACACAAGCCGCGGTGCCGGTGATGCCGGTGGTGCCAGGCACGTTGCCCCAGCTGGGAGTGGTGGGTGAGATTTCCATAGGCACAGGAATGTGCAGCGCAACTCGCGCTGGCGGTTCCAGCCCGGGACGTGTTGGCAGATGTGCCACCAAGGGCCCTGCGCTCAGCCCTGCTCTTGGGGGGCTGCGGCAGGGTCGGGCAAGGGGTCCTGACCTGTGCCAGGGCATTCATGGACCTCCAGGGATGTGCCCAGCACAGGCACAATTCCAGTCCTGGACACTTTGGCTTTGTGCTTATGCAGAGAAGAAATGGTGGAGAGAGAGTTTTAGGGTGAAACAGTGCAAAACCAGAGCTGGAAGCCATGAGGACATGGCAGGTGACCAAGAGGACCGGGACTGGGAGGGGACAGCCAGGCAGTGCTGGTGGGGGATCAAAGAGAACAACCACAGCCCTCATGTGCGGGGTCTGGGACTCCCCCAGGGCAGGGAGATGCCAGGCTGGGGTTGTTGTGCTGCAGTGCCTGAGGACAGTCCCCCGTGCTCCCCTCAAGGAGTGGGGACACAACCAGTGGCCCCAGACACCCCACCCCATCCTGACAGGCAGCTGGGCCCATCCCAGCTGGGACAGGACATGCAGGTGGTGGGTGCACAGCTGCCAGGACCGTGCTGGCCGGGGACCACGCGGACATTCCCGGTGCCCTCAGGGCTGCGGGGTGTCCAAAAAGCAGCCAGCACCCAGGGACACGGATCTGGCCTCTCCCCATGCTGCCCACGGTGGGTGCTGGTGCCAGGCACAGCAGGAATGGCAGCAATGCCTTCCTTGGAAAGGAGGGGATGCGGCACGGTGCCCGCTGGCACCGCTGCAGTGCCTGGGGCTCGCCAGCTGCAGCTCTGGAGCCGGGCAGCTCTGCCGGTGGCACCGGCTGGGGCACACCCGGCTGTGCCCGGCCACCGTGTGCCACCGTGCTGCTATGCACCTGCAGTGGTGATGTGAAACCCCCTGCCCTGAGAACAGCGAGGGGATGGACAGACTGACGGACTGCAGCCCCTTGTCCTGAGCACACAGACAGACTGACAGACTGATGGACTGCAGCCCCTTGTCCTGAGCACAGACTGACTGACGGACTGCAGCCCCTTGTCCTGAGCACACAGACAGACTGACAGACTGACGGACTGCAGCCCCTTGTCCTGAGAACAGACAGACTGACGGACTGCAGCCCCTTGTCCTGAGCACACAGACAGACTGACAGACTGACGGACTGCAGCCCCTTGTCCTGAGCACACAGACAGACTGACAGACTGACAACCTGCAGACCCTTGTCCTGAGCAGATGGACAGACTGACAGACTGCAGCTCCCCGTCCTGACAGTGGGGTGAGCACACAAGTCAGACAGAATGCATCGTCCTGCCCTGAGCAGAAAGACAGACAGACCGAGGGACCCCTGCTTTGGCAGAGGGGCAAGGAGGCAGACGGGCGGCCTGGAGGCCCTGCCTGAGCAGACAGATGGACGGACAGACGGGGTGCTCATAGAAAAAGGAACCTCACTACAGTTTATTGTGGCGGCGGGTGGGCCCGGCCGGGGTTACATTCAGCGCTACTGCTGTCCGGTTAGCAGGGTGGCACGGTGGCACGAGCATGCGTCAGCAGGGCGGGGGTCCCGCTGCCCGCCGGTGCCCCGGCAGGACGGGACTGCAGCGCCAGGGACCCCCGCCCGTGGCGGCCCCGGCCCCGCCGGGACAGGGGGCGGCCAGAGCCGGGGGCCCGGCGCACGCACCGCGGGCCGAGGGGTGAGGGTTAGCACCAGAAACGGGGCTCGGCATCCGGCCAGGCGTCCCGGTGCCCGGGTACCGAGCCCGGCCACCTCCCGCCGGGGCGTGGGAGGCACGATGGGGACCCCGGTCAGCAGCGCCGAGTGCCGGGGGTACCGCAGCCCCCCCGAGCTGGCGGCACGGGAGAAGGGCAGGGCCCGGCGCGGGGGTGCCCGGCTGGTCCCACAGCCCCGGGCACTCGGAGCGGGGCACCGGGGCTCAGACCTGCCCGCTGGAGCCGCGGGGCGGGAGACCAGAGCCCGGGGGCTTGGTGAGCGTCGGGAGATAGTTGCATATCCTCTGGAACGGGCCCCGGCGGGATCGGTGGCGGGCGTACAGCTCGGCCCCGCTCGGGGGGCCGCAGCGCCGGGCCGGAGAGCCGCGGGGGGCGCGGCCGCGGCTTCGGCGTCCTCCAGCCCCGTGGAGGAGGGTCCTGAGTGGGGCCGGCCGAGGGTGCTGGGCGCAGGGCGGGCGCGGGGGTCAGCGGCAGGGGCTGCAGCGCTCCGGAGGGGACCCTTCGGGCGGCTCTGCGAGGGCACGGAGGAGCTGGAGCACGGAGCTCTGCGCCCGGCCGGGGGGACAGCCCCGCTGCCCTACGCCACAGCACACACCGCGCCCGGCTCCCCTGTGCCACCCAGCCCCACGGGGCGGCACGGAGCTCACCTGGGGGTGCCACCGCCAGGCTCTCCTCAGCCGCGCTGAACTGCAGCTCGGCTCCGTCGGGCAGTCCCGAGCCCCGGGAGCGCGGACACCGGTCCCCGGAGCGCGTCCGCCGCAGCACCGACTGCGGGGGGTGAGGGTCAGTGCCCGCGGCGGGTGGGTTGGGGCGGTCGGGACTTCACGGGGGCTCCGCGGCCCTTACCTTCCTGGCCAGGGGGCTGCTGGGGGCCGAGGCGCTGCTGTACAGGCTGAGGCTGGAGTTGGAGCGGCTCGGGGACAGCACTTTGGAGGAGGCGGCCGACTGGTTCCCGGCACACCTGGCGGCGGCTCCGAAGACGTCTGAGGACAGGTACTTCTCGTTGATCTTCAGGTTGGTCCTTCCCTTCACTAGGGACAACGGAGGGGGCGAGTGAGGGGGTCCCAGCAGTGCCAGACCCTGGGGAGTGCGTTAAGCTGTGCCCCCCGTGGCCCCTGCAGGACCCGTGCCAGGCACGAGTGGCCGGTGTGGGATGCCCACACCCACCTCTGCAGGGGTCGTTCTTCACCAGGAACTCGTCCAGGGCGATCCAGCCCCCACCCACCCTCACCATGAGGGTGCTGCGCAGGATCCGCACCATCCGCAGCTGCTGGGACTCCCCGAACTGCAGCGAGAGGGACGTTGGGGCAGGGTGGGGGCTTTGCCAGGGCTAGGCGTTGGCAAGGGGTGCCAGAGCAGGTGGCAGCACCCAGACCTGCCCCTCCGGCCCCACTGGCACTGCCCTCCCGCAGGGGCCAGGGCTCCTCGGGGCAGGGGGATGTGCCCCCTCCCTGCCCCGGCACACGGGTACTGCAGGACCCCTGCACGGGACGGGTGTCGGAGCAAGCCGGAGCCCCGGCCCGGCACTTACCCGGTACCTGTTGGCGCTGATCTGCTCCACCTGGAAGCGCTTGGCACAGTTGCACTGGGCCACTTGCCTGTTCACCTGCAGGGGCACGCTCAGCTCAGCCCAGGAGGGGCCCCCACCCTTCCAGCTGCCCCCCACGCCGCTGCCCGGCCCCACACCTCGTCCTGGATCTGATCGGCATCGGCGGAGCGGCGCAGCGGGTCCCGGTTGGGGTGCAGAGCACTGACGAACTCGTAGTAGTCGATGAAGCCGTCGCCGTTCATGTCGAAGATGGTGGCCACGGCATTCATCTCCAGGATATTGGTGGGGAACTCTGGGGGGGGACCGGGACCATCAGCCCCCCCCAGTGCCAGCCCCCTCAGCCTCCTCCAGCCCCCCCAACACCCACTGGAGGCAAGGACGCTCTCGATGAATTCCCGCTGGCTGATGCGCCCGTCCTGGTCCCTGTCGATGCCGCGGAAAACGTCCAGGATGCGGGACTTCATCTGGCTGATCCACTGCATGTAGCGCTTCCTCCAGACCCCAAAGTCAAAGTGCGCGAACTCCTCCAGCTTGGAGGGGCACACACACGGGGGTGAACACGGCAGCAGGACCCCCTCGTGCCCCCCGTGCCAGCCCGGTTCACCACGCTGTGCCCACGTTCAGCCTCGGTTGTGCAGCCTGGCTGCTCCCAGCCCTGGCCCTGCCAAGGCTGCAAGGGGGCGGTTTCTGCCCAGGACCCCCGACTCTGTGGTGCACGGGGGCCCCTGGGCTCCAGCAGCCACTCTGGGATGTCAAGGTGCACCCATGGGGCGTACTGGGACCCCCAGCAGCAGGGGCTGCTGACCCCATCTGTATCTGACCTGGCCAGGGGGGCCATGGGCAGAAGATGAGAGGAATTACTTAGGACCCCAGGGCAGCGAGACCCCCGGGGTGCCACCCGTACCTCCCGCAGGCGCTGCAGCGCCGTCTCCAGCCGGTACTGCCGGTCCAGGGCCAGCAGCCAGAGCTGCTGCCAGCGGTGCAGGAGCTGGGCCATGAGGGGCGTCTGGGGCTCCAGCCCCCCGAGCGGCACCGCCGCCATGCCCTGCGCCTTCCCGCTGCTGCGGCGACCTGCGGAGAGGGGGGTGAGGGGGCGGCCGGGGGTCCGGGGCGTGTCGGGGGTGATGATGGGGCTCCTTACGTGTGGCCAGCCGGCGGGTGGCCGGAGGGACCAGATCCACCGCCAGCTTCCGCTTGCAGCTCTTGGTCACCTTCTCCACATCAGGCTGCTTGCGGTTCAGCTCCTCCATGAACACCTGCAGCGGAGCGCTGGCGCTGAGCGTGGGCCGGTGCAGCCCCCCGTGCTCCACAGCCCCCCGTGCTCCACAGCCCCCCGTGCTCCACAGCCCCTCCATTCTCCACAGCCCCACCGTGCTCCACATCCCCTCGGTGCTGCACATCCCCTCGGTGCTCCACATCCCCTCGGTGCTCCACATCCCCCCCGTGCTCCACAGCCCCCCGTGCTCCCCAGCCCCTCCATTCTCCACATCCCCTCCGTGCTCCACATCCCCCCCGTGCTCCACATCCCCTCGGTGCTGCACAGCCTTCCCGTGCTCCACATCCCCTCTGTGCTCCACATCCCCCCCGTGCTCCACATCCCCTCGGTGCTGCACAGCCTTCCCGTGTTCCACATCCCCTCTGTGCTCCCCAGCCCCTCCATTCTCCACAGCCCTCTGCTCCACTGCCCCGCCATGCTCCATATCCCCTTCGTTCACACCCCCTCTGTGCTCCACATCCACTCCGTTCTCCACACACCCCTGCTCCCCAGCCCCGGGGACTGCAGACCCGCTGTCCCCTCCCGAACCAGCAGCGTGTGCTGTGGACACGGTGGGCTCGCACAGCGCAATTCGAAAGCGAGCACCACCCACGAGCCCAGCGCTCCCCAGAGCCCCCCGGTCAGGCCAGGTGCTGGCCCAGGGCTGCGCGGGGTGTGCCAGGGGCACGACGCGGTCCCCAGGGAGAGCCGGGCTGGGGTCCCTCACCGCGTGCTGGGCACTGAGCTCCTCCAGCGGCTCGGCCTCCTCTGGCAGCGGCTCCTGGTCCCGCAGCCCCAGCGCCTCCTCGGCCGCCGTGATCCAGTCCAGCAGCTGCGCCGTCTCCTCCCGCTCGGCCGCCAGCGCGGCCGCCTGCGCCCGCAGCCGCTCGCCCTGCTGCTGCGCCCAGCTCAGCACCTGCAGGGCAGCACGGGGGCACCGGGATGTCACCCCGCTGCGGACCCCAATGCCACAGGGCCACTGCTTTGGGGGAACGAGTCAGCACCGGGAGCCAAGGCCAGTGGGGCACGGGGGCACCGGGATGTCACCCCGCTGCGGACCCCAATGCCACAGTGCCATTGCTTTGGGGGAACGAGTCAGCACAGGGAGCCAGGGCCAATGGGGCGCGGGGGCACCGGGATGTCACCCCGCTGCGGACCCCAATGCCACAGGGCTATTGCTTTGGGGAACGAGTCAGCACCGGGAGCTACGGCCAGCCCGGCCGTGGGACAGGCTCAGAGACCCCCAGCAACACCCCAGTGACAATGGGGCAGGGACTGGGGAGTCCACAGCCCACCACGACTGTGGGGCAGGCACATGGACCCCTGGCCAGCAGCTATAATAAATGTAGGGCAGGGGCACAGGACAGGGGCACGGGGCAGTACCAGGCTCCTGGTGGGCAGCTGGGGCAGGGCCGGGGGTGCTGCCCCATGTGCCAAGGGTCCCCAGGTCTGTGCTGTGTGGACACGATGGTTGCTGTCCCATTTTGGGGTGAGTGGGGTGAGGGGAGGCAGCCCCAGGGCAGATCCTAAGCAGATCCTGCAGGTCTCTGCTCAATGAAGGCTTTGTGTGGGATCGGCTGAACTTGCCAGACCAGTCCCAGGAGTGCCAGGAGCCTCTTACCTGCGAATCCTGAGCAACCCAGGGAGGCTCTGGGCCACTGTGGGAGCATGGTCTAGGACACTGCTCCCAGGTTTCCCTGCCTTGGTTGTGTGGTGGCTTCCATTGCACAGGAATGAGCCACCACCATCCAAGGAGGCTGCGGAGGCCCCAGGTGACCCCGGGAGGCCACAGGATGGGGGAGCAGGGGGTGACACTGGCAAGGCCAAGACCCTCTGGGGCCGAGCACCCCCAGATTCTGCAATGCTCTGGCTGGGGGGAGTTGCATCTGGCAGTCATGGTGGTAGGAGAGGCGTGGGGCTGTGCGACAGGTATGGGGCCGTGCTTTCCCCACGTTCAGGTGCCACTCTGCTCCCCTGGGCAGGGATGGGAACGGGGCACCTGTCTCACCTCCTGGAAGCGGCTCTTGGCAACTGTGACCCAGGATTTGATGGTGATGATGGAGTCGGGGTGGCAGGTGGTGAGGATCTCCTCCCCCAGCGAGGTGATGCACTCCAGCTCCAGCTGCTGGCACTGCAAGGACTGCATCAGCTCCTGGGGGGACAAGGACCATGGCACTGTCAGGTCTTAGCCCTCCAGACACCATCGCACCCCCCTGCAGCACAGGGACTGCTGGATTGGGGTGGGGGTGCCTAAATCTCCCCACGTCAGGGCACTGGGGGCCCCAAACCCCGTGTTCTTGGTGCGGTGGCACTCAGCATCCCGAACCTCTCAGTGGTGGCACCCAACATCCCACGTCTGCCCACCAGACAGGGGCTGGCTGACCCCAGTGATGGAGGTCCTGGGGCAAAGCTGGAGCCAACCTGCGGTGGAGGCTGGCGGGGGCAGGCGGGGGCTGGCACCCACCTGCAGCTGGGCCTGGCACTCCTGCACGGCTGCCTCCTCCTCGGGGAACACTCCGTACTTGAGGGTCTTCTCCGACTCGGTCAGGCGCCCCAGGAAGGAGTGCACCAGGGTGTGGAACTCCTCCGCCTGCCACGACAGTGGGGACCTGCTCAGCAGCCACCCTGCAGCCCCAGCTCCCAGCCCCTGAGCCCCCAGCCCCTGAACGTCCCAGGCAGACCCTGCACTGCTGGGTGGACAAGGCTTGGCACAGGCACTGGCTGCACGCTGTGCCGAGGGAGAGCTGCTGCCAGCCCCACTCCAACCCCACAGTGGGATCGAGGGGAGACCCCTCACCCAGCTCTACTGAGACAGAGGGAAAATCCAACGAGGTAGAAATCCGTTTGGATTTAGGTGAAATGTGTCGCTTTGCGCTTGCTAGCATAAGTAAAATATGCTGTTTAGTCTGGTAACTTTGCAACACCGGTAAAACTGCCCCAGCTGAGGAGAAAGAATGCAAATGTCCAAGCTGAAGAGAGAAAAGATAAGAAAGATCCTCGAATCTTGAAACAGAAAAGGCAAAGTGACCCAGGTGTTCTTTCTGACAAAAAACTGAGTACAAGTGTAACTAGCTGTAAGTGTAACACAAAATCAGCAGAATGAATATGCATAAGCTATTGTGAAATTCTATGCCTATGTAAATTAGTAAGGAGTAATAAAAAATATCAGGAGTCCTCAGGGGCACGCACGTCTTTTGAAGGGGAATGATGTGTCACATGCTGTGATAAACATATCCTCTCTACAAATCTTTATAAGAATTGTGGGGTTTTGGTTTTTCGCCCACGTTTCACTAAACCAGGACACAATTTCCTCTGACCCTCCAGTACCTCCCTGTGCCACCCAGCCACCTTCCCTGGGCGCTCTGCACGCACTCACACCTGTAACAGGCACCCAGCCTGGCACCTGGCCACGGTGCCTTGCGACAGAACCCCAGAGCCCCACGCAGCACCACACCCCGAGCCCAGGCACCCCACAGAGAGCCCCAAACAGCACAGCCCCCACACCGCCCAGCTGGCCCCGAAGACCTCCCCGAAAGCACGGCCACCCATGGAGCCCCTGGAAGTGTGCACAGCCACCCACCTGCTGAGCACCCCACACAGCATCCCCAAAGCACAGCCACCCACCTGCTGAGCACCCCACACAGCATCCCCCAAAGCACAG